TACTTTTGGAGTTTGAAATTCATTAGCTTTGCTCAATGTAGCGGATGTAACTGATCATCCCATTGGCTGCTTTCATAGTCCGCCGGCCGGCCGGCGTGCCGGCGGAGGCAGTGCTAGGGGGGAGGAGGGAGGCAGACAGTGTAAGGCAAACAGTCCACGCCCTTTTTAATAGATCGCAAATAAGTGTTGGAAAAGCTTTCTACGCTACTGATTAGTCCCATTTTACTTAATTCGGAAGTTTGATTCTTCTATAATCAAAAGAATGCGGCAAAATTTGCCGGCTACTCTGGACTCTGCACGCTTATGACCAGGTCTAGTTGTCCAACTAACTATAGATCAGTGAATCCTGTGATATGGTCGTACCCAGTATACTTACTTACTAGTTCCAAGGAACATGGAATCAAGAAGCACAGGAAATCCTAAAAAGTTGGTCAAGCACATCGAGGAATACGGCGATTTCTCTACGAACGCCTCGAATTCTTTGAAGTAGAAGTAGACACATATGTTTAGTCGGACAAACACGGATTTTCTAAAAGTCATTTTTCTCAAATTTCCTAAAATTACTTTTAGAAAATTTTTTGGCTAGTTTTTTGGTTTTTTGCGTACCTATCTCAAGCCTCTACTTCAACTAAATGCAATCTATCCATCGCAGATTCTGAGGTACCCGCTTCATCCTGTTTGCAAGTGCGGAAAATGAGTACTATAATATAGAAATGAAGTCAGAGGATTGCACAGTTCGAGTACGTAAAAGACATGGCAATGTTGGAGACGAATGTTAAACGGAATCTAGCAAACGATGTAAAAAAAACCAGAAAATAATGAAATTTAACTGGCTGTAGCCTTGACTATTCGTTCTACGAGCCAGTGCCTTCAGCTAGTCCGGGCTCATCAGCGATGTAAGGCTATTGAAAAAAGGATGGGAAAGGTCGTGTGTAACATGGAAATAAAATGCAGCTGATACAAGATTGTTTGAGTAGGGAGAAACCAAGAGATAAATGAGAGTGTGAATTCAAACATGAGGAACAGTACCAAGGTCTTTTGACGTCAACCAACCCCCCTCGCTGAGAGGTGCGCCCCTGCTCCTGATCCATTCGGAATCATTGGTCTGATGAATGCGTATGTGGCCTATACAATGACTTGCGGTTGTCAGCCGATTTTCAAGTCGGTGCTTTCATGCTTCTGGACGAGTCAGGAGCCGACCCCGGAGAGGATGGAAGGCTTAGTTGGCTTCGAAGAACAACATGCCGAGATTTGAACCCCTTATCTTGCATGTGTGATAGTGCCCCTTCTGTCTTTACAAGTCCTCTGTCCTAGGAACGCGAGCTACAGTGAGAAAGTTTGGACGAGTGTTCATGCAGTTTTTCATTTGTATAATATATAATATAGACATGGAGCATACTGATGCAAAAAGTGGTTGGATCATTCANNNCGCCTCCCAGTAACACAATTGTGACTACAATGACTGACATAACAATTAGAAATTATTGGGTTGTCACTGACTTGAAGAAGTTCGATATATCAACAAAAAATAGATACATGTGGAAAAATGTTATTCCTGACCAACAATGTTTTTACTTGGCCCCGTGACTCCCGAGGGTTGGGTGAGGCGAAAAATAGAATGGTTCACGAGCTGAAATTAATAAAAGAGGTATAGAATATGAGAACTAAGGGACATAGTCGACAAGGAAACATTATCCTTAGAAGAGAATCCTCAAGAACGAAAACATCCAAACAAGAATCGCAGGATCGATAGAGAGATAGTTGTTGTCAGCTGATGCTGCACAGTGTTAAAAATAAAGATGCACTACATGCTGATCAATTCTAAAGCGCATTTGTTTTAAGGCTTCAAATAAATAGTCGCTATAAATAAGCAATCGCTTCTGTCGAGCAAGTACCAGGGACCCAGAAGAATATTTTGTAACAAAAAAAACCTAGTCGAGGTCAACTAATGAAACAAATGTCTTTCAACCAGTGGATGAATAAGTTTTGAGCCATTTCTGATTGAGTCTTTATTTGATAACTTACTCTATAGATACACTCAACTGTTCTCGAAATTATAAAGTTGTCTTTGCATTTGCTAGCTTGTAGAGAAAAAAAGCCGTTTCTGACCTTCCAGTGAAAATAACTTTTGAACGGAAGGGGAAGTGAACTCAGCGTTGGGTCTGGATAGAGAATTTCTTCACATTCAGCCATGAAATCTTTGGCATCCTGCTGTTAACAATTTTCTGGCTATCACAAATCAATCATAAGAAGCTTTCAATCACGCACATGAAGAAAGGACCGATCCGAACAATCAGCAGAGCCTTGCAAAGACTTTGTCAGGGAGTTGGAAAGCTAGAATGGTATCAACTAGAAGAGAGCCTCTAGAAGACACATTCATAGTCATTCTCAACTATAGCTGCAGCATACGGGACACCCTCCAACACTTTGGTAGGTAAAAATAAAAGGGAGTTCTGGTTGAAAGGAGGATAGTGCCTACATGCCACATGACCGCTCATGATCGATGCGCATAGTGATCGCATGTCTGCAATAAACTACGCAGCGGATGTGGTTAATCGGTATGAGGAAATCTGGGTCGACTATGGTCAACTTCATGGCCAATACTGGTGTTCGCCGAAGACAAACAGGGTCACTAAGCTTTCGAACATTAACACATCAAGTATTTTGGGAAGTTGGTGAATTTTGTAATGGTTATGAACAATGCATAAAGATGTTTATATTTGGCATTTAGATTACTTTTGAACACAGCTACAAACTGACCTAGTGACCTAAT